AAAGCTTTGATACCAAGCTTTGATACCATGCTATATAAGGCAATACAGGACAGGAAAAGATTTACAATTAACTAATACAACGAATCTAATTAACCGCTACTATAAATAAACTAAAAGATGACTATTCCCTATCTGTACACATTTGAACAGCTAGGAATGCTTGTAAGATGATAGAATATTGAAATTTAGGGTTTAGCGACAACGGCCAACCTGACATGGGTACACTGTTTTGGTCATAACCCTCTGAATACTTTGAGATTTGTCGTGAGACCAATTCCATCGAAAATTAGACATCTTAATCTTCAAAACTGTAGTTTGTGGGTTCACTATGGAGTAATGAAATTTCAAAATTGAACCAACTGTTCAGGAAAACAGAATTGCAGATAGCCTTTTTGGGTTCACTTTGGACCAATATCTGTATCTGCTGGGAAATGTCCAGACTGCAAGGCCTATACCATCATAATGCCCTATTTACACCTAAAAAATATCTAGACTGCAAGGCCTATACCATCATAATGCCCTATTTACACCTAAAAAATATTAAGTACTCCCAATTTCTCAGTACACTCTGTACAATTATTAGAATTTTATGTTACTCTCAGTACACCCTATATTTTTTTCCAAATTACCCTTCAAGGTACACCCAAATAAGAACAAAGTCACCATGTTTGGACTTACAATGCCAAACAATATTGTTTGGTTCGGACTTTCAGATCCGAACATGTTGACCTGAACAACAATGACGTTAAACATGCTGAATATTTGTTTTTACGTAAAAAAAATACACAAAAATCAAGAATTGTACTTTGATATTTATGCGAATACTTATCTCTTTTTTGATGGATTGCTTCAAAAAACAGCTTTCATTATTATTCTTATCTATTGTTTGATTTTGTTCAAACTTTGTTCTATTCACAAGGATAAAAAACAATGATGTTGATGATAATGGTGAGTTTTGGTGGGGGTGTGGTTTGGAGTTTTGGAGTGAGGAAGAATATGAAGAGAAAACAATTAAAAGTTGAGGAAGAAGATGGAGAATATGTATATGTGATTAGGGTATACCATGGGGAAAAAATAATAATTTATTTTAGGATTTAATGTGTTGTCCTTATTAGTAAATTTACTTTAGGGTATAATAGGAATTACAATTTCAAAATTTGAGTTGGGTGTACTTAATGACTTTTTTGGTGTAAATAGAATCCCCCATGAGCTGAGTTTCCAATGAGACAAACGGGCCATGATTTCGGATTTTCTGGTGGGAGTTATGGTCATTTTCCTACAACGTGTCTAAGCTGCCCGCATTATCGAAGTTGAACCCAAAACAAGTAAACATGCTCAAGTCCTATTCTATGGTGTCAGAATAAATATAAAACCCACATTAACAAGTCTCAATGGTCTTAATACACATCAGTACTCAACTTAACTTGGTGGTCAATATCCAATTTAATAAGGGAAATTTAGATCTCAAATTCATCAATTCTACCTAACTCACATCAATTTCAATTTACTTCAATTCATTGATCAAATGTCATGATCTTTGGGTTCTTTAACCTACTTCAATCATAAACTAAATTTCAATTGCATAATTCTTACCTTGTACTTCAACTTAAAGAGTTCCTTTCCAATTGATAAGAAGAATTTAGGTTTCAAGATTGTAGGTAATACCTTGAATCAAGCTTGAGTGACTTTTCCTTTAAGTTTCCTTTTTTTGTCTTCTCTTTATTTCTTCCTTTTTTCATGAACCTTTTCACTCTTTCTTGCACTTTAGCTCTAGTTTTCTCAAGAAATTGGGAGGAGCTAGTTTGTCTCTACACATTTGTATAAGTGAGGCAACCACCAAGCATGAGATGGCACAAATCTAAAATTGCACCATGGCTAAGTCTTGATGCAGCACTCCCTAAGTTAATTACCTCGATTAAGCTTAATTAATCCATCTTAACCTTAATTAAACATGGTCTAATTATACTTAGCTTAATAATCCAGATTAGGTTTGCCTTAATTAATCATGATCAAGGTTATTTAATCACACTTGGTCTTAATTAACCCAGGTCTTAATTAACCCAGTTAACGTTTGTACATGATTTTTTAAGAAATGTAACCCACATTAGTTTTAGGATGTTGAAGCACCTTCATTAGGCTAGCTGATGTTTAGGCTAAGTTAATTTATCACATAAGAGGCATTTTACTATGCATGCTTTCACATCAAAATTTTCATGTAACAAGGAAAACACAGAAGATTTCTCATATTAACAAGCAACGCATATCAAGTTTTAATTCACAAAAGAAAAGCATGTCATAAATGGTAAATGCACTTGTGAAAGAAGTGAAAACCTCCAATATGCTATGAAATGGTAGGATAGGCTCATTACATTATTACTCCCACTTGAGACCCTCTACAAAGTATATACTATGAAATGGTAGGATAGGGTCATTACATTATTACTCCCAGTTGAGACCCTTTACAAAGTATATGCCAAGTAGAGAAAATTTGTGGAAAAGAAATGTAAGAAAAGGACTTGCAAAGTTTGAAGTCTGTTTGATAGCATTTTCCCTTTGATGGTTATTTATGTTGGAGATAAGATTATACTATTAAAGATATTAGAAGATATGGAAGATATCAGAATATATGGAGAGCCCTTTATTTGCACTTATCAAGATTGTTTGTATCTTTTACTTATTTCATTTCCTTAACTGAAGGGATTTGATTGTATTTCCCACTCTATATATATGGTGTATCATGTAAACAAGAATATCAAGTTAAGTGAATGAAAATGTAGCCCATAGGGCTTTGTGTGTGTGGTGGACATAGGCCAAGATTGGTTGAACCATGTTAAACCTTTGTATTCTTTCTGTAACGCTCACAAATGATTTAATGTAAGTCATTACTTAAAACATGGTTAAACTAAAAGCTTATCATAATCATAATGACATCATACCCAAAGGTCCTCTTTCTCATTGAACTAAGGTTTCAAAATATGTTCATCTATTAAATACATAGACCATTCCATAGTTCAAATAGCTAGAGGATAAATAAAAAAAATAAATGCCTTAATGGCTTACAATTAAACAAGGCATAGACTTGTGCAACAAAATGGACTCTCGGTCCCAAAACATATACGTTCGGAGCTTCCACACATTACATTCAAGAGCTATCTTGCTCCATCAACAAAAGAACGTATTCCCCTCCTTGTCACTGAGGTGGTGGCACCTCACCAATCCTTGAAAGTTGTCAGATAAGAATGAGCTGATGCGCAGTAGAACTACGTTTAACAGAGTATCTAATTATTCAAAGATCCATATAGCACCATCACAACCCAAAATATATTTAGTTCAACTCATAATATTACCCAAAAAGAGAAAACATGAATTCCACCTACTCTCCACCTACTTCACCCACTTAAACCTACTCCACTAAACCTAACCCACTACACCACTACCACCTCACCTACTCCACTAAACCTAACCCACTACACCACTACCACCTCACCTACTCCACTAAACCTAACCCACTACACCACTACCACCTCACCTACTCCACTAAACCTAACCCACTACACCACTACCACCTCACCTACTCCACTAAACCTAACCCACTACACCACTACCACCTCACCTACTCCACTAAACCTAACCCACTACACCACTACCACCTCACCTACTCCACTAAACCTAACCCACTACACCACTACCACCTCACCTACTCCACTAAACCTAACCCACTACACCACTACCACCTCACCTACTCCACTAAACCTAACCCACTACACCACTACCACCTCACCTACTCCACTAAACCTAACCCACTACACCACTACCACCTCACCTACTCCACTAAACCTAACCCACTACACCACTACCACCTCACCTACTCCACTAAACCTAACCCACTACACCACTACCACCTCACCTACTCCACTAAACCTAACCCACTACACCACTACCACCTCACCTACTCCACTAAACCTAACCCACTACACCACTACCACCTCACCTACTCCACTAAACCTAACCCACTACACCACTACCACCTCTACTTCACCTACTCTTTACCTACTACACACTCACCCTCTTCTATATATAGGAATCATGAATCATTGTAATAGAAATCAACATTATATCAATCAATAATACAATTCTCTATTTCTCTTTATACATTAAATTTCTACATCATAGTTTCTAGAAATTTCACAACTTCAACACCTGGGGGGTAAATACACAATGGAGTCCTAATCCTTGTAACTCAAACATTAAGTTATAGCATCAATGTCATAATAGCACCACATAAACATCCTCAAAATAAAGAGATACAATATTAAAAATAATCCTACCTCAAGTTTCATGACTAAGAAGGCTAGATGATCAATTAACTCTTTGCGAAATCCCAATCCAATCGGTAGGAAGCTTGGTCCTAACTCAACCTTCAACTTTTACAACCAATGGGTTTGTGAATCTAAGTAGAAATGGGAGATTTCTAGAGAGAAAAAGCTAAGGTTTTCAGAGCTAGAGAGGGAGGGAGAAGAGGGAAAAGAAAAAAGTGGGAGAAATGATATAAAAAGTGACTTTTTAAGTTGCTGAAATCGCGCAGACCGCTTGAATAGTGATTGAGGTCTCTTAGTATCTCTGCCTACAAGACGAGATATTGGAACTCCTCATCTTCGCTCAAGCGACCACTTGTTCACTCGAGCGGTCCCTCGGCCTGCAAAACAACTACTGGGAGCACCTCATCTCTGCTTGAGTGGTCACCTGAAACAAATTGTCACACTTTCAATTCTCTTTTTTGTCTTTACTATCTCTCCATATTCAATCCTATTGCCTTATTAAAAACTTCAACTATTTACTTACAATTTAATGATTGGAGACAAGCATCATATCATTATCTTGCAAAGTGATTTATTTGGTTAGTCAGATGACTTTAATGAAGTATATACATCTTTTTTTTTTGTTCCTTTCCTGTTTTGCTTGATTGCTATATTAATTGAGTTTCATAATCTTATTATCAGATCACAAGTTCTCTTGAGCAAAGGTGTTACAAAGACTTGAGAAGCGAGAACTTCCATTCTGTAAAAGTTGTTTTGTGTATATACAGGAAGTTGTTAATATCTTGTAGGGAGCAAATGTGAGTTCTTTCTTTTGGTATCAAACAAGTGTTTATGACCATTTTTGGGGTATTTTTCCTTATAATTTCCTGGAATATTGCAATTACTAAAAATTTCACACTTGCATCATTAGCTGTCCTGTTATCTTTATAAGCCATTGAACACCAGCATTTTAGGAGATAATAATATGTTTGTCACAATGGTCTCTGCAGAAGCATTCTATTGAATACTTTCCTCTCCTTAAATTAACTTCAATAATCACAAATTTATAAGCTGCTGTGAACTCTTAGAGCTGAGTTGTATTCTAAACCTCAATGCTTGTTATATTTATTTTAGCACCGTACTTTAGCATGTTAGCTTTACTAAATTGAAATGCCTGCAAACTTTAAAAACTTCCCGCAGAGGAAACGATAGAACTAAAAGTCAAGTCACAATTCAATCTAAAACTTTCATACATAAGTGCATTGCTAGATCATTTATAAAACCCAATCAGGTTTCTGGCTGTGCAAATCGACCTGTTTTACTAGGAATCCAATTTATGCAGGTTGGATCGGGTAACTTGGGTTTTTAGTTTACCTAGAAGGGCCAGAACCCAAGGTATGACATACCTTACTCAAGCTGAAATAGCCAGGCCTCCAAGTCAACCCCACCAAACCTGAATTCCTTTTATTTTATTGGGCTGCTCAGATTAATCCATGGCTCAATTGGATTCAACCAGTTTGGGTTGGGTTGAATTATTTGGGTCCATTTATCTTCTCTATCGAACCTCAAAGAGTTGCGAACTCCAGATCCAACTAAAATTTTGCACTGGTGTAAGACAATCATTACCTACACTCATAAAAAAGAAATTGGAATAATACTATTGAGCAAGATACATACAGTTTAGAGTTTGACTTTGAGGGTTCCCCCATGGGTAACCTTTAGAATGTCCCAAGCATTCTTAGTAGTTTCACAATTAGAAATCTTCCTAAATCCACTTGGTGTGATAGTAGAATATTGCATTAAGTGCCATAGAGTTCCAACCAAAATTTTCAAAGTCAGTTTATCCCATTCATTAGCAAGTTTAGGTTTTTGTTCACCACTAAGGTCTGAATCCAAAGGAGGTCTATATCCAGTTTCAACAGAACACCAAATATGTTCATGAATATACATCAAGAAAGCTCTCATATGTTCAGAACACCAAATATGCCAGCTTTCCACTACGTATATTTTCAACAATCAAATAAAGTGGGTCTCAACACAAAACCACCTTCTCTAGGCATGTCCACTTCCATTGACATGGTTAATAAGATATATTTAGGTTATTACACCAAAATGAGCAATAGAAGCTCCTTTACCAATTTGAAAAGGATGAGGTGGGCACGTTTTTGTGCCTAAAGGGCGATAATGTATCACTAGTAGAAGAAGAAGAATGAAGAAGGAACAAAGACTAAACTGGGGATCACAATTCTGTATCAAATATTTCAATCTCATAGTTAGTAGGATCAATTCTCAAGAAGCATCGCATGCTTCTTCCAAGAACATTAACTGGTTAAATTATTTTGACAATTCTCCCACTACGTTGAGATACTAGTGCATCATAAGATAAATCATTGACAGTTACAGGTGCATTATATATAGTGATAAGAACCTTTATGTGAAACTGCAACATTCATGAACAATAATGTAGATTACATATATCCTAGAGTTTCCGGTGCATCACGTAATCATAAATCGGAAAACAATATTTAAATACCATCTGTCTTGATGTATCAACTCTTATTCACTTTGAATATCCAATAGAATAATATACTTCCACTCGTGTCTCCAACCTATCCATTTTTTTCTTTTAGCACGAATGCTAGACACCTTCAATGTTGTGGACTAGGTTATCAAGTGTCTTAGAGAGAGATTTAATTGGATACAAACTAGTATGTTAATAACTGTTTATAGGATATATAGACAAGACAAAATAAATTATCCTAGACACTACTATTCCAAGTAATGTATTCCATCTCATAATTTCACCATAATTGGGATTATCCTAGTGCAGTCATTTAAGAAAGAATTTCATACGTTTCAAAATAGTCCAAGAACTCACAAGAGAGATATTCCACTCCTCGATCCAATTGAAGGTTCTTTAGGTTATTACTCAATTGTTTCTCCACATCCACCCATGTTATAACAAATAGGTATAACCATCTGAGTAGACACCACTAAAAGTAATGAAATACTCAAAACCATTGTTGTTAAATTGTGAATCGAATTGTGAATCATTTTGCTAAAATAGTGATCGTGAATCATAAGATTCACTTTATTTAGCATAATATATAATTTTATATCTGTATATGTACATATAAAAATACATATATAGTGTTTAAAATTATATAATACGAGTATAACTAAATTTTATATAAATGTATACATATAAAAACATGTATATCAATATAATTAGTTGATCTCATTTTTTGTTTTGTTATAACGACTCTGTTTTATGCATTATGCAAATAGAATTGAATTGCTTGTATTGTAGTGAATAGTAATAAATCACAATGAATTGTAGTGAATTGCAATTGAATCGTAATATTCACTCAATTTAAGATTCAATTGCACGAAACGTATCGTTTTGCTTGAAACTTGTATCCAATTGTATGAATCGAATCATGAATCATAAGATTCTAACAACCATTCTCAAATCGCCACTAACATGATGTTCAAAGAATCTAAGTACATCTCATTTACTAATTCTCTATGGCTCAATGGCTCTAATGCTCTTTAGTAAATAAAAGCCTATGTGTCATTGTACCCTCTAAATAGGATGCACGCTTCTGGCCTTCTTTAGTATGGTGACCTTGCACAGTGCTATCCAAAAAAAGATGAGACATTTATTGTTAGCAATCAATCCTATTTAGATAACAATGACTGATATTGTGATATATGGAAATCAGGACAGGAAAATGTGACTGTATCAATGCTTATACTGGGATTTCAGGTTGCTTATCTTGATTGTGTGGAGTGATGTTTTAAAAAAAATATTGATAGCAACATTTGGCAATCTAAAACTTGATACAGTACCCTCTTATGATTTGAGCAACTTTGGGTTTGTCCTGGATGTGTAATAATTGGAATTTTGAAATTAGTGGGGTCAATTTCATGAAGTTACGGAATTCACTAGCAACAGTTTTCAGCCAGAATATAAGGAACAAATTGGAAAAATCTACCCAAAAAAATATAAAAATAAAATTGCAAGAGATATAAGTAATTAATTGAAAAGATAGCATGTGGTAATTTAAAATCATCAAGGATTTGTGAATCTCATCCCATTTATCTGAGCTTGTCAGGGATTTTTTGTTTGAATTATTTTCACATTGGGTCAGAAGCACTTGATGAAAAAGTCATGATTATTGGGAACAAAAATTGGATAATTTTGCTGCAATGCTGTCGCTGGAACTTTGTATCTCCATTTTCCTTCTTTCAGTTTATTGTATTTTATTTTATAAAAATTATGTTAACAAGATTTTATTACTTAGGATTGAGCATAGTGTCCCAGTAACTGAAAATGGATTTATTTTATTTTATTTTTTGCAAAATTATGTGGATATGTTACCACCAGAACAGTATCAGAAATGGCTTATTTATATTGAAGAACAAGGACTTGAAAGCTTGGGAAATTGTTACTTATTGAAGTTTTTCTGGTGCATTTTACGTATAGCAACATTTGTGAAGTATTCATTTCATTATTTACGTATGGAATTCCTCATCAGTAAGAACATGTGCCAGGCCATTGTTTGCAAGTAGCTTGCTCAGCATCATACAAATTATGTTGGACCAAACAAGGCATGATGAAATGCGCATTATTGGATGCGAAGCTCTTTTTGAGTTCGTAAATAATCAGGTGGGAGCTATTGGTTTCTTCTCTCCGTTCCTTTTGGATCATCAATTTTTTTTTTATTTATTTTATTTTATTTTATTTTATTTTTTTTCGGTGGAAGCACTGCCTTGTAGTTAAGATGTTGTCAACCTCGCAAGATTATTTGCATCAACCAGTATGCTTATGTAGTATCATTGTACTGTGCAGCGGGATGGTACTTACATGTTTAACTTAGAAGGCTTGATTCCAAAACTTTGCCTTCTAGCTCAAGAAATGGGGGAGGAGGATGACAGGGTGAAGTATTTGCGTTCTGCTGGGCTTCAAGCTCTTTCCTCAATGGTGATGTGCCCTCATTGCTCGTAGTTTTGTTTCATGAATTGTTTGATATTTTATCTTTCCATGTCCCTCATTGCTCGTAGTTATGTTAAGTGAATTGTTTGATAGTTTGTCTTTCCATGCCAGTCTACATATTTATTGGATTTGGTTTTTGAATATTGACATGCACTTTAGGTGCTACATCATTAGGCCTGCAAATAAGCCAAGCCAAGCCAAGCCGAGCTGTGCTCAAGCTTGACTTGTTTGCTTATCGAGCTCGAGCTCAACTCCATAACTAACTGGGCTCGAGCTCGACTCGGCTCATAAATATTAATGAAACTCGAGCTCGGCTCGGCTCGATAAAATTTTTTAAATAAAAAATATTATTTATATTATTTAATATATAAATAATGTATTTATACTATTATTTATATATATTTATATTTATTGTACAATTTTAATAAAGATAAACGAGTCGAGCTTGACAAGCCAAGTTTATTCGAGCTCTAGCTTGGCTCGTTTACTAAACGAGCCTAATATTCTCGTGCTCGAACTCGAACTCGACTTGTTTAAACGAGCTGAGCTGAGCCGAAACCCTTAACAAGTCAAGCCGAGCCTGTTCGTGAACAGTTTGGTTCATTTGCAACCCTATGCATCATACATTATGCCAAGTTAGTGTTTCTTGAATTTGATCAAACATTGCCAGCTTCTTCTATGGGCATTGGCAGCTAGACTATTACTTGAAAACAATTTTATCAAAAAAATTGGTGGGAACATGATAGGATCTTGAGCTTTGATATCAATGGTTGTTTGAATCACTATTTGATCTGTGTTGTTGAATCATAAATTGAGTGAATTGTACAGTTGAGCTGTGATTCACTACAATTCATTGCGATTAACTATGATTTGCTACGATTCACTGCAATTCACTACGATTGAGTTTTATTTACATAATGCATGAAACAATGTTTTTTTTGCAAAATAAATAAACAGATCACGTAGTTATATTGATATACGTGGTTTTTTATTATATATATAAATTGATATTTAAACATATATATTTATATATATATATATACATATTTAATATTAAATATTATGATAAATAAAGTGAATCTTATGAATCACAATTCACTATTTTAGAAAAACGATTGACAATTCGATTCGTGATATGACAACAGTGTTGATACCAAACTGATGTAGGACATCTTTAGGAAACCTGCCCTAAGGTTGCCTACAATTGGAATTGTGGTGGGTTTTGGTTTGTAAAGCTTCTTGGGTTAGGGTTCTAAGAGAGAAGAAAGTTTCTAGGGTTTGGAGATGAGAAGTGTGAGACTTTGTTTGATTTTCAAAAGTGGTAGCTTGCTGAATTTTCAGAACATAGGCTATTTAAGGGCCTAAAGAGTGAGTATTTTATAGAAATGATAGAGAGCTCTAAACAATGAGCTCTAAAGCCAGCTCTAATGAGCTGGCAGTGAAGGAAAAAAAAAAAAGAGATGGAAAATAAAAAAAAAAAAAAAAAAAGGCCAAAACATTACATCAATGGGTGGGGCCCACTGATTAGAGCTCCCTTAGAGCTCATTGTTTAGAGCTCTGAAACATTTTTCTTTAGGATTGTAATGGTTAAATTGAAGGCCAACAGGAAAAGGGATTAGGGTTGATTTTTGCAAGATTTAGGGTTTTGAGGCTAAATAGTGCGCCTTTTGAAGGTTGTGAATAGTAGCCTGGAAATATTAACTTGAGTAAGAGGCCAAAGAAGAAAAAAATTAAGAAGAGAAGAGAAGGAAAGAGGTGCTTCACCCTTGCATGGGTTAGGCAAATTCACATAAACACAATCTTGAATTCTCATAATATCAACTCTGTTGAATCACTGAGATTACACATATTTATAGGCTAAAGACGCTCCTACTTCTAGAAGGACTATGACTCAAATTTAAAAACTAAGAATATTTGGGAACTTTTTTTTGGGTGAATAATATTTAGGAACTACAAATATTCTAGAGCAACTATGACTATGACTTCTAATTCTACTCCAACTACGCTATGAATTCAAATTAGGAAACTTTGTCCCTTTCAACCTCTAAGACTATTCTAGAAATAACAAAACTCATATATAATGACCCATTAAATAGCTTGATCCAAAAAAAAAAAAAAAAACCTATGAGCAACTCCTATAGTTGATGGCCAACGAATTATGAAATTACTAAAACACCCTTAAATACTAAAACTTGATTTAATGAATTTTTTTTTTTCAAGCAACATACTGAGTTAAAATAAAAACAAATAAATACTCAAAATTGTTCAAAAAATTCACTCCATGATGCCATAAACATTCTCTATGTGAAATTCTAGATTTGCCTATTCAAATTAGGAAACTTTGTCCCTTTCAACCTCTAAGACTATTCTAGAAATAACAAAACTCATATATAATAACCCATTTAATAGCTTGATCCAAAAAAAAAAAAAAAAACCTATGAGCAACTCCTATAGTTGATGGCCAACGAATTATGAAATTACTAAAACACCCTTAAATACTAAAACTTGATTTAATGAATTTTTTTTTTTCAAGCAACATACTGAGTTAAAATAAAAACAAATAAATACTCAAAATTGTTCAAAAAATTCACTCCATGATGCCATATGTTAGAATTTACCATTCACACTCACCTACTACACTCCACTACTCACACTCACCTACTACACTCCACTACTCCTCACCTACTACCCAAACCCTCTCCTATATAATGCCACTCTGATTTGTAATACAATGTATCAATATATCAATCAATAATAATACATACAATTTATTCTCTCTCTTTCTCTATACATTATTTCTTACACCATAAACATTCTCTATGTGAAATTCTAGATTTGCCTTTTTCTTTTTTCCATGCTCTTCATCGCATTCTTGACATTCTAACTCTTTAGACTAGGCTCAAGTTTAATCAAATTTTTACTACGTACTTGATGGTAAGGGATTATTTTGCAATTAATAGCAAGAAATTAAGCTTAGAGTTAGTTCTTACCTTGAGTCAAGCTTTGAACAACATGTCTTTTGATTCCTCTCTTTTTTCTTCTTGCCTCTCTTTTCTTCTTCCCATTTCTCTAGTTTCTCTCTCTCTCTCTCTAGGAATTTTGGTAAACCCCCAAATGGGAGACCTTTGTGTTTTTCTTTTACAATTTGTATAATTTTCCATGTAAAATTGGTCTATGAAAAATTTATACTTGTCTTTGTATGATTATGTAGGAATTAGTTAGCATGAGAAGTGTTTTAATAAGCATGAGGTGTCGTTGTCCTTAATAGTTCACATATTTGCAACCATGTAATTCCTGGCATGTCCTACACTTGCCAACATGTCTCACTGTAACGCCCTAAGTTTTATTACCCGAATAACATTAAAGTCCATATTAAAGTCCATTTTCAAAACATAAATGCGGAAGCAGAATAAAAATGAATAAACAATTCATATCCTCTCTTGTATATACAGTGATGAAACATTCGATACAATAAATTACAAATGCCTTTAGGCTTACATTGAAGAAAAATAAACAAAAGGGATTTACCCTCTATACATAACATTGGCATCCTGCCTACAAATAATAGGCCCTGTGGCCAACAGTAAGATCTGTACTCCAAAGACATCTCTCAAGCCTGCACTTGAAAAATATTCAACGTGGGATGAACATATAGTCTAGTAGGAATCCCAATGATTCTAAGCAATAGTATCCTATAGATAGATATGATCATAAATGCTCCAAGTCATAGATACGTAAGTAGTGTTGACTTTTATATCCAAAATATACATACATAAGTATACTTTTGCCCGAAAGATTCCTTCTTTTACAATTTCAAGAACACAATTCTTATCTTCACAACTCCCGTTTTTTATTCAAAGAACTTATCAACTTCATTTATTTTAGAAAACGAGTCCACACTATTACCGTTCTAAACATGTACATCAATATTCTACCGAACATAGTCTCATAAATCATCTCACATTATACTATCATCACCGAACACTAAAGGTGAATTGGATATCCTATGGTCTCGCCAAACCCCATGCCACAACCCCACTTTGCCGGTTGCTAGTCGGAAGGAACGCGGTACCTACATATAGCACCGCCTGCTTTACCGGTTGCTAGTCGGAAGGAACACATTACCTTTGTATAGGACTGTCTACTTTACCAGTTGTTAACTGAAAGAATCACATTACCTCTATATAGGACATTCATTAAGCATCTCATCATGTAACACATCACTCTGTAATTACACAATATAATCAACAACACATAACGCGTATAATCTATTCAACAACAATCATTACCATCCTCCACCGATGGCCAAGGACAAAACCTCTAACAACGCAATTCTTGTAAAAACATACTCAACGACGACAACGTTTATCGCAATGTATAATCCCATTTCATTTCTCAATTTACAAAAGCCAACTCTTTAATTCCAAAAACTAAATCCCGTTATTCCTAATTTTCAACATTTACACAAACATTAACTAATTCCATCTTTCAAAATCATTGATTAAAATTAGGGCTTTCTAAATTTAACATCCTAAACATGTTCAATAGCACATAATTTCCATAATCAACCATAAGCATAAAATTAAACCCATAAGTTCAAACCCTAACTCTTATCCTTATGCTTTTAGAAATCTTATAACAAAATCATGTTGTTAATGTCATAAAAACTGCCACACATCTATCTATAGCGTTTTATTGAAAAGAAGCAAAACAATTCCTACCTCTTGAAGCGAAGAGGAGAAATCCAAAATTCCAACGTCAACGAAATTACGATCGAACCGGCTCAAAAGAAAGCCCTCGTCACACTCTAGTTTTTGGTATAAAGAACCAGAGAGAGATTTTGACCCTAAGTTGACGGATCTAAGTATTTACAAGCTTGAGAACTCGGCTATGGCGGAAAGAGAGAGAAGAGAGAAGCAAATAGAAAAAGTGACTTTTAAAGCGCACTCAACACTTATATAGATGCATCATCGCGGGCTTGAACAAGACCATTGCGGGCATGACTGACACGATCGCGAGCACGACCAAGATCATTGCGGGCGCGACCATGAGGGTCACGGGCCAGCTAGCGGGTTCTAGGATTTTTTGTAGACAAAGTATTGGGAGGGTTTTATGGTCGTGGGCTCAACCTCCAAGGCCGTGGGCGCGAAGAAGCCCAGGCATGAATGCTGGATTGCTACCCAGAAGCTAACCCAAGGTGTTACAAGGTCAAATCTCAATAGGGTAAGGTCAAAGGTCAACTGAAACAAACTCATACCCCAAACAGAAAGGCAAAAAGGGACGGATTTTGACCCGGGCCACTACACTCACCTTTATAACTCATCAACCAATAATCATCATGTTGAACTCAATTAATCTAGCTTTGGCTTAGTTTATTACATTTAGATTTAATTAATCATAATTCGTGCTTAGTGTAATGCGCTGCTAAAACATACAAGAACATGCCAATACAAACACCATAATATAAACCAAAGGTCATCTTTCTTGTTGAACTAGGAATTATGACATTACAATCCAACGTTTACAAACACATCTTGGTTTCACTTTCCAGTTCAATAATCTAGATGGCCTTACAAAATATTAAGCCTCAAGGGCGTACAAAATAACGAAACAAATTCAAACGTCTAGTTACAATGTCTACTACATCAACAACATAATATTCTTGAACTAAACTTTCCCAAAATGAGCTACTGCCTGTCTTCTCCAACCCATCAAGAATGTGGTGTATCATTAATTCTTGAAAAATAAAATAGGGTTGAGCAATATGCCCAGTAGGAATACATTTAACCAAATATTTAATTATTCGAATAAGCATGTGACATCATTGAAACAAAACACATTAAGGAGTTTAGATACACAGGTAATTATTGTACATCATGTAAACACTATAGCAATTGCACCGTCACATTTACATCACACAACATTCATCATCACATCAAAGGGAATAAGCCAGGAGTCCCATGCAAGAGTCCATGTCCAAACACAAGTGTCTTTTGTTTAAAAACCGCCCCCACATTTGTCGACTATTATACGGTAGGGAGTGGGCACCCAAAATCATCTATTTTTTCACTTTTGCCGACTACAATACGGCAGGACTAGTAGACACCAAAAAATATTTTTCCCACATTTGTCCAGCGATAAGCCTATTCATAGCATTTGGATATGTTTTTAAACTCCTCACATGGGTACCAACAACACCACATTTTCAAACAACGATAAGTCTAGACAAGGCATTTGGGCACCTTGTTAAACTCCCCGTACGAGTACCAACACAACACCACATTTTTCCAAAACCGACTCTTACTCGGACTCATTCCCAATTAACAATTTTATCACACTTCCATTCAATTTACAAGCATTCAACATAACAAGTGATGAAACACCACATAATATTCAAAGAAAGCCAATGTCCAAGACACAATTCCAGTACCCTAATCATATTCACATCATTCATCTCTCTATTATTCATAACACTCGAAGAATTTAAGGGAATTCCACTCTAATTAATATTTTCTATTCAAAATGGGAGTTAGGGTTTTGCCAAAATTTTGGGTCTCTCTTTCATCATGGATATAGGGTCTAACAACATTTATATACATGTTTTGTAAAAGGAGTCAAGAAATTTCAAGCAAAAGTCAACTAAAACAATCTATTTATGTAAAACATGGGCTTAACCCAACTAAATCTTCAAATTGGCTCATAGGTCACAACAATATCACAAAAACTCTTCAAAATAAAGAAATACTAGGTTAAAGGTAACCCTACCGCAAGAACCAAGCAAGATATCAAAGTTCCTAGAAGAATCGTTTACGAATCAAAATTCCAATCGGTTGGAAAGTGAGATCTTCAAGTCTTCTTTACTTTTTGGTAAGCAATCTTGGCCCAATTCAAGAGAAATGGAGAGTAGTTTAGAGTGAGAAACTAGGGTTTTCGGAAATGAGGAGAGAGAGGGGAAGATACAAATGAAAAGTGTAAGGAATGATCTAGAATTGTAATTTTAAAGTTGCTAAATTCGCACAGTCTGCTCGAGCTGACCCAGAAACAAAATGCCACACTTAGTATTTAGGATGACAATTAGCATTAAGTTAAATCACTTAAGCTCTTCTATTAAGCCAATTAAGATTGGATTAAGCTAATCTTCCTGCATTGGGGTGTCCTAAGAAGCACGGACACGCAACACGACACAGATACGACACGAATACGCATGAAATATATAATTTTATATATTTATTATATGTTAAATATATGAATATATCATTTAAAGATAATAAAAAAATGCAATATGACACTAATTCTTAGAAATTTATATGATTTTTGTTTTATTATTGTAACTTAAGTTGTTTTGTTTAAACTTATAATTAGTTGCTTATGTGTCTAATCGATAGACACATGTGTTTAAGTGATAGACATGTGTGTCCTCCAAGTGTACAAAGAGTGTCTGAGTCTTTTAAAAAAATTAAAAAATAGGACATGTTTTGAAAAGAGCGTCGGACACGTGTCGGGGAAGTGTCCAAAGAGTGTCGGTATCTGACACGGACACGTCACCTTCTTAGAAGTGTCCTTGCTTCTTAGGGGGTGTCTAACACATCGGAGAGCAACACATAAATATAACTAAAGTATGATCATCATATATTTAATCATCTTCATACAACATCATAGTACATTCTCACATATAATTGATGGCATACCCTAGAGAATTACAATGGTGAAACATTTAAGAATCAGGGTTTGAAGCTAAATATTAAGGCATAACACATGGCATGTTACTTTAGCAGAACTGGGTTTATAGGAATTGGGATCTAAATATCTGGGTATACTAAAACTATAACGTTCTTTGGATAATGGGTAATGCTATACAAATAGAATTGCTATATAGATGTTTCATATAGAATGATATGGTCTTTTTATTTGAAGTCAAAACACCCATTATTTTGATTCATAATTGCAAGAATGTCATTGTTACATCATTGTGACTTATACGAGTTCTATTTGTAAATTTTCCTTAGATAATTATATGTAATGGTAGAGTAACTGTTGAGGAATTTGTCAAGTACCTTTGGAATTTTATAAGGTGTTGAGCATGTGTGAATGAGTAGTCCCACTTAAGCCATATTGAATAAAAGTAGAAAGAGAGGGTCTTAATGTACATTGGATGGACTCACTACTTAGAGGCTTATGCTTTTATGTGGGTATGAGTTTCAACAATGTGTTAGACGCTTATATTGCACATGTGGACTCAGTTTCTCACAATGGATTGGGCCATGTTGTTGCTTTGCATTCATGGGCTCCTCAAATTCCTTAACAAGTGGTGTCATAGTCTATGATTGATGATCTATGGGTAGACTTTCCTAGTTGAATTGATGCAATGGGCTTGCATGACGACTCTCGATGGAGCAAGAAAAATCAATGAGTAACTCTCAATGGAGCAAAAAAATCCAAGTGCACGGAATTAACAAGCCTGCAATATTATGACGGAGTGTGTGTGGTAGCTCCGGTTGGACAAGAGATTAGGAGTAAGTAAAGATCAAAATTAAGGGGGAGTACATATACAATCTATGGTGAACCTATAGATCAGATTCAAGGGGGAGTTTGGCTCGATGTATGGTTTACATGTGAGGGGAAGATTGGAAAATGCTATAGATCCCAAATAAATTATCAAATTTTCTACCAAACCTCACAGGTCCCACACCCATGTGAGAGGTTTGGTAGAAAATTTGGTAATTTATGTGGGGTCCCTAGCATAACTCGGGGAAGATTATTGGAGAATATGTGAATGAGTGAAGTCCCACATTGAATAAAAAGTAAAAAAAAGGGACTCTTGATATACATTGATGGAGTTACCACTTACAAACTTGAGCTTTTAAATAGGTATGAGTTCCAAACAATGGTTGTTGGACTTGGTGTTGGCACATGTAGACTACTAAGTTTCTCCCCAACAGATTGGGCATTGTTGTTTCTATGCATATGTTGGCTCCTAAATTCCTCAATAGATGGTGCTACCAAAGCTTTGGAGTAAGGTTTTTACCAATTGACTTCCACGGTTTTTCTGCTGCATGACATAGTGTTTTGGTTTGTTTGTTTGTTTGTTTGTTTGTTTTTTAATTGGTGCATCACTCAATACTGCATTGACTCTCCTTTTTTTTTTTTTTTGAATCTGAATGGTTATCCTATTACATTAAAGTTTCATCTCAGTTATGTGCTCTTACGCACACTGTTTAGGACAAAAGTCATTACAAGGCTTACTCTTGTTGCCTTGCATGCCCTCCAAATACTAGACTTCCTGTCTTGCTTTCACCAATCATTTGTATAAAAAAAATTCAATACGAAATTGGAGTTCTGAGCAGGAAATCCTGTTTACCACTAAATATAAAATAAAATGAAAAACATAGGATTGTTACTTTAGGGTTTGAAAAATTGACCTGACACTTTCTTTATGTTTATGCCATCAGTGTCTAAGTAATTTATTGGTTTCTACTTTTGTTTCAGTTTTTAGGATATTTGAGATTTTTGTAGTATAAGGTTCCTCTATAAAACTATCATCCTCTCATGGTGTACATTTTAATTAATCATATGCTTTTTCTTGCTTCATCTTTGTTTCTTCATCATGTTGAGTCCCGTGTATAGTAATTTTATCTTATTCGGATTCTCAGATAGTTTTATTTTTTATCACAGATCTGGTTCATTGGTGAATTCTCTCATATGTCAGCTGAATTTGATAATGTAAGTTAATTAAGAATTATTTGTTGTATATTTTTTTTGAATGAGCTCACCCTTTCCCGTATTTAATCTTTGCAATTTTGTTGTTGTTGTTGTTGTAAGTTGTATATTATATTTCTTTTCTTAAAGCAGTTTTGTGGTCATCCGTGAGATTGGCAACTAAACACTAAACTGATTCTAAGAACTTTCCAGTGAAGTACTTTGGTCAACTTACTTTTTACATTTCATCCTACGATATGATTTAATCAATTCATCATGAATGGTGCAAAAGTGGAAGCTAAATTTTTTTTTGTGTGGAAATGATATCGTGGCACCCTGGCCTCTTTCTCTCAAGTTGTATATTATATTTCTTTTCTTAAAGCAGTTTTTTGTGGTCATCCATGAGATTGGCAACTAAACACTAAACTGATTCTAAGAACTTTCCAGTGAAGTACTTTAGTCAACTTACTTTTTACATTTTATCCTACGATATGATTTAATCAATTCATCATGAATGGTGCAAAAGTGGAAGCTAAATTTTTTTTTGTGTGGAAATGATATCGTGGCACCCTGGCCTCTTTTTTTCTTCCCCCCCCCCCCCCCCCCCCCCCCCCCCTCTTTTTAATTTTTAAATGTAGTTTTCCATCTTTCCATCACATATTATCCATAACTAAATTTAGGATTAGCTTCTTGAATAGCTTGATATTCTTTGTTGGGCCCATTTTCTGATAGCTTAAGCTCTTGGACAATTGGTGAACTAACATGGTATCAGAGCTCAGGTTAGGGGAGGTCTTGGGTTCAAGTCTCTCCATTTGCATTTGGTCCCCATTTGCATTCTGTCTTTTGTTGACATTCCTTCTCTCTATGTATGAATGTTTGCATCTCCACGTTCGAGATGGGGTTGCAGGGCAGCTCTAGTTGCATATCAAAAGGTTGTAAATTCCCCTTGCAATAGCCATAACTGCTCTAGAAATAGGTCCACTCTTGTATTTGTTTTTGTTGGCATTTGATCTTTGCTAAAACAATGCTTGTGATGTATTTTTTCTTCTTGGCAAGACTACATGTTTACTATTCAATGACAGCATTTTATATTTTTAATCAACCAGGTTGTTTTAGTAGTCTTGGAAAACTGTGGAGGTCCTAAAGAGAAATCGGATGAACTTAATCAAGGTACCCCAAGTGAAGAGCCAAAAGTTGATGGTCATGTTTCTCCCTCACCAGGTGCCATGACAAGGGTTATGTCTTGGAAGAAAATTGTGAATGAGAGAGGCGAAGTTAACGTGACTGTGTAATTCCTCTTGTCATGGTATTTCATAAGTGTGATTAAATTTTCTTTATGTGCATTTTTCATATCTTGTCTAATATCTACTTCATTCTTTATCAGTGAAGATGCCAGGACCCCTCAATTTTGGTCCAGGGTTTGCCTGCATAACATGGTCAAGTTAGCTAAGGAGGCTACAACTATACGACGTGTACTAGAATCCTTATTCCGCTATTTTGACAAAGGAAATCTATGGTCGCCTGAACATGGGCTTGCCCTTTCTGTATTGATGGACATGCAATTATTAATGGAGTGTTCTGGTACTCAACTGCCTCTTATGATCTGTTTAGTTACGAATTGTCCACTCACCTAAGCTGTTTTCAGTATCGTTTGTTTTTCCTCTTTTCTCATTTTATTGATACTTTGGTTGACCATTTATGCAGTTTGTTTTACTTCAATTTGCAGGGCAGAACACACACTTCTTGTTGTCCACATTAATCAAGCATCTTGATCACAAGAATGTCTTAAAAGACCCTGACATGCAGGTACACATTGTTGATATTGCTACCTCCCTTGCTCGAGAAACAAAGGTTCAGCCTTCTGTGACAATACTTGGTGCATATAGTGATATGATGAGACACCTGAGAAAAAGCATACACTGCTCCCTCGATGACTCAAACCTTGGGGAAGAAATAATTCAATGGAACAAGAAATATGGAGCAGCTGTTGATCAGTGTCTTGTGCAATTATCACGTAAGGTGATCTTGTTCTCCTTCATCCCTTTATATGATGCTGAAAGTCAATTGGCATTGATGCCTTGTTTAATAAATAAATGAGCTGAGCAATCCTTTGAAAGGCAGGTTGGAGATGCTGGTCCTATTCTGGACATTATGTCAGTGATGTTGGAGAGCATCTCAAATATTACAGTTATGGCCAGAACCACAATTGCTGCTGTTTATCGTACTGCTCAAATTGTAGCATCAATACCAAATTTGTCATACCAAAATAAGGCAAGAGCATGCTAAACTCTTTTACTTGTAGTCTGAGGTCGTGTTAGTGCAAATTTTCCACACTTTCAAACTGAATCTGCTATTATTTTATAGGCTTTCCCTGAAGCATTGTTTCATCAACTACTTCTGGCTATGGTCTGTCTGGACTATGAAACAAGGCTGGGTGCGCATCGTGTCTTTTCTGTTGTTCTTGTCCCATCTTCTGTTTGCCCTCGTCGTAGCTCAACAACTTCCTCAGCAAAGGCCGCTGACATTCAACGGACACTTTCAAGAACAGCGTCTGTCTTTTCTTCTTCAGCTGCTCTCTTTGAGAAGATGAAAAAGGAACAATCTTCCCCACAGGAAAACTTATGTCGAGAAAGTAAAGACAAAATTGTGGATGGTGAGGATGAGAAGATCAATAACCAATCCATGTTGAACAGACTGAAGTCGAGTTACAGCCGAGCTTATAGCATGAAAAGGAATTCATTATCTGTAGACACAGACCAAGAGCCGGTATAAATTCACAATCCTGCCAATGAAACATTTTTGTACATAATTAATAATGCTTATAAAAATTATTTCATAACTATCTTGTATGACACTTTTGATTTAGCCACAGGAGGCGATTTCTCTAAGGTTGAGCACTAGACAGATCAATTTACTGTTCTCATCACTATGGGCACAAGCCATATCTCCTCTAAACACACCCGAAAACTATGAAGCAATTGCTCATACATATAGCCTGTTGGTCCTATTTTCACGAACCAAGGTAATGTTGCTATACTAGAATACTGGTTCTCTCTTGAATTCTCCCTTGGGTGATCCTTGTCCTTCACTATTGTGGAAACTTACAGTTTTTTTATGCCTTCGTATTTGACAGTTTTGCTATGCTTAATTTTTACATTATAAGTTCTTCAGCTTTTCTTACGAACGATTAGGCCTTTAGTGCTTCTTAAATTATGAATTTATTTGCTTAAAATATTCCTGTAAAAATTTCAGCAAGAGATGAAATTCTTGAAATCACAATTAAACGGCATCAAATTTAAATGTCTTTTAGACAAACTTGAGTGCCTCACTATATCAGTAGACTATATGCATTCAGCCATTCTTGTGCATTAAAGAAGGAATAGACTCAAATAATAATAATAATAATTATTAGTTTTATGCCTCAAAATGGAAATAGCATTTAGCTATAAACAAATAATAATAATAATAATTATTAGTTTTATGCCTCAAAATGGAAATAGCATTTAGCTATAAACAAGATATGACTTGTATCATGCTTTACACACTTTCTTTTTTTAATAATTTAGTTAGACACAGTTCTAAACAATTTAAATATTTTTTCTAAAGGAATATTAGGCTTTTTCTTATAAGAACTTGTGCTGCGTAAACCTGTAGGAAATTTAAAAACTTATGCCTACATATTTTAACTTCATAGAAATTTGTTTCAACTTGATATAGATTATTGAAATATGAATTTCTAAGATTGATTTTCTGCTTATACAATTGACCTTGGGTTGCTACCAAAAGAAGGCAAATAAAGGTTTAATCATGCATCACTAAAAGATGATTGGATCTCTTTATTTTTTGAGATACCCTTTTGCTACATTATAGATTTACAATCATGTCCTTATTTGAACTTGATGCTCTATCAGATTTTTATTATTTCTATTTTTGTTGGCCTTAATACTGATGCTTCATTTATTCTCTTGTAGCTTCTCTTCCAAAGATTTCACACTGTTCTTTAATATGTATGACTTTGAAATATTAATATATTTGTTGATTGTTTTGTGTTCCTTGTTCATGGTAAAGTATTATTTACTCATCATTAAGGTGCTCGTCTATTGTCATACCTTTTGTTTTCTTATTGTCCGTTGTCATGTAGAATTCCAGTCAAGAGGCTCTGATCCAAGGTTTCCAGCTAGCATTTTCCTTGAGGAGCATTTCTCTTGGTGCTGGTATGCTCTTGAAGTTAATTTTGAATTTCTACGACATTTCGACATGTATTAGCATTGATTGAACTACTATCCTATTTGCCTTGTTTACCAAACCGTTGCTTGAGTCTTTATTATGAAAGTTTAGATGTATCAAAAGAGGATGAGTGTTTCTTTCTTTTTTCTTTTTCTTTTTTTTCTTGGGGGAAATAAGGAAACCTGTGTTAAAAGGTTTCGAAGCAGCAGAGGTACAAGCCCTGTACTTGCAAAATATACACGAGAAAGAGGGAAACAATAAGCATTCCTTTTGTAGATATCTCCTTTACCAACACGTGTTGTAGACACTTAGACCTTGATGTTTACTACTGTACTATAGACCTACATGTGCCAACCTTCAAGGGACACGTGTCAGGCCCATGTTGAAAAGTGATTAGCATTCCTTTTGATCAGCAACAAAACAAATTTGGGGCAGATATGAGCCGGTCCTGTGGACCGGAATTATTTATCAAAGGGTCCTATTCAATTTTCAGTGATAAATTTATCACTATAAAAATATTTTAACAAAAATACAATTCAATTAGTTACACTTCTCACATCATATTCCAATACAAATTAACACAAATAAACTACAAATAAATTAAAACTCAAACAAATGTCAAATGTGCCAATTGTTTATCACTTTGATAAATTTATCAGTATCATTATCAATACCAAATGATCATTCCACAAATACAAAACACATCTAAAAAGTCTCAAAATTTTCACATCATCAAAAAAAAAAAAAAACTACTTAGGATTTATGAGTAAATAAATTCAGTCAATAGGACCTGCTAGTAATTATACCTAGAAAATTTTTATAAAGGGAGAATAGCCTATTGCATAAGCTTAAGTCCTAAGAGCAATGCTCAAACAAACGTCCTAGCACTGTAGGAGTTCTGTATTGCAAGAGGCAAGTATTGAGTTAGTTGCGTTGCTTGAGGTAATTACAACAAGAAATTATGTCACAAATGCTTCTATCAACAATATTGCACTGCACGACCCAAGTGCCTAGGTCAAGAGGCAGGACCTAGGTGCACTGATGTCTTCTACACACACCACAGGACTTTGGGGGATTTTATGGCTTGAGGGCTAGAGATGCAAGTTTTTAAGTGTAGGCCAGCTCTACCTAGAGAGAGACCATGCTGCTGGGTTCATGTACAGAATCTAGAGGATAGAGGATGTTATGACCCTATCCCACCCCAAACTTACATAGAGTAGTGACTGGCCAGTAGTCATAGACTACTACAGGCCTAACTAAACAAACATATAATACTCCTGTAAAATTTTGGGATAAAACTGCTTCAATTAGTGGAAGCCATTTAATTCTTAACTTTATTATCCCACAAACATCCATTTAGAACCGTGCATAAATAAATGAGAGGGGCACTTACTAATCAGTCTTATTAACTAAACTTATTTACCTACAGGTCCTAACTGATAAATTTATCACTATAAATTTATTTATAAAAATAAGAAATACTGATAAATTTTTCAATAGGACTAAATGGGTAATGAGTTCCAAAAGTAGGACCTATTGGTAATTTACCCTAAATGAGGAAATGAAACATTTGTTGTTGTTTATTATACCTTCATAGGTTCAAACACAAAAGGAGTACAAATTTTACAAGAGCAGAACAACTTGTTTTTTCCAAAACTAAATGTGTACAAAGTTTTCAAACTTCACGTCTTTTCTAAAACAAGGCATGCAAACTTCCAAATGTCTATCCACATATACCCTTAGCTTCAAAAGTGAAACCTTCATGCTCTATCATCACCACCTACGTATATAGGGAAGAGGGATGAGCCAAAGCCTAATGAATAGTAATATATCAAAGCTATTTTGAAAGGATATCTCCATTTCAAAAGATTATAAGTAGTTCAAAAATTGAAAAAATTAATTTGCATTTGAAACATAGCATATCTTATGCTTTTCCATTTCACAACACAATGATAATGCCCACCCAGAGGATACGAAACAAAACATAATTGGGTTGACTCCGATTATGTCAAATTCATAATCTAACTCACAATACCAAAACTACTAGTATATTTTGTGTACCCAAATAGCCACTGGACCCAATACTATTAGTAGATTTATGTCCCCTAATAGCGGCTGAGACGAATACTACTAGTATATTTTACGTCCCCTAGTAGCTGCTTGGAGGAAAGCTTTAGATGATATCTTTATATTTTAAATATAACCAACATATAATATCGTTGAATGATCAAATATTTCATATTCGAAGAATATAAAATAGATTTAAGTTTCAAATAAGTCTTGCTGAAAATAAACTCTTTTCCTTTCGAAAGGTAGGTTGGTCCCACAAAGTAGTTCACCTACATAGGCATGAAAAATACAGTGCAAATGATGATTCTTACTCTAAATGCATCAAAATTAAGTGTATATATATATTAGAGGTCTTTTCCTTTAAAACAAGTTATTTTGGAAAATCCGTACTTCTCCGGAATCTCATTTTCTTGCATATTTTCAGTTCAAAGTTTGGTTTTTAATGCTGAAAATAGACTGCAGGTCATAAGGTGTCTCAAAAGAGCAAAATAAAAATTTGCTAGTTGCTGCCATGAATCCATGATCCGCTTGAGTGGCCTGGTCCAGCCTCCTGCCCTTGTCTTGATTTTGGATTTTCTGCACTGCTTTTGCTGTCCTAATTCAAAACTAACATTCTACAGGTTTAAAATCATGTAATAAAGCATTCTAAAGCCATAGGAAATGGAGAAAACTTCATACTTCTCATTCTTCTCGCAAAAATTTAGAGCTTTTCTATACAAAAGCTTGGATTCATTGAAAACAAGTTTCAAAATTGAAGTTCTTCAATTCTTTCTTGAAAAGATTGTTTTCAAGCAAATTCATCCAATTAAAAGGTTATAACTAGGTGTAAAAGCTTGAATTTTACCTCAATTCAAGTTAGGAACAAGTTTAGGGGAAGAATCCAAGCTTTCCCCTTTTCTTTCTCTTCTCTTTTTTCTCCTCCTTTCTTTTCTTTTTTGACAAAATTTCTCTCTTTTCCTATTTTCTTTTGTTTTTATTACTACAGACTAGAGAGATATTCTCTCCTATATATTTATATATATACGCAAGTAGGAGGTGGCACACACCTAATTGAAGTGTTTACTTGGTTGTCCCAACTAATTACATCATTAACTTAATTAATCAAAATTAAACTAATTAAGCTAGGTTAGTACTAATTAGTCAAGTTTATGCCACTAATTACACTTAATTAGTCATGTTCAAGTTTACTTAATCTTGATTAAATCCATTAATCCCACTAGATTACCACTAAACCTGATTAGGTTTTTCACACATTGCATAGAAATGATAAGCACATCAGACCAAGGCTATTAAGCACCTTGATTAGAAACATATAAACATGTATGAACATATCATATGGAAAGGAAAGCCTTTCATATTTGTTTCTCTAAATTTCCTTTCCATTTCACAGCGAAAGACATAGAGAACTTCAAGACTATAAACATAGACATGTAGGACTTCAGTTTCATATTTATTGGACTCCATTGAATTACAATTATTTTCTCTGTTTTCCATTTTTCCAATAAACTCCCCTTAAAGACAAATAGAAAAAAAAGTATATCCAATTTCGGGTTGGTTTGGCAGCACTTACAAAAGTTAAAAAATCAAAAAGTCACTAAAAAAGCAAGAAAGTTCATATTATTCACCTTATTTTGCGGGAAATCTATCCGGTCAACAAAAATAAAAAAGGAAAAGAATTAGTGCAGCCACAAATTCCCATAAAATTTTTTTTGAAATGCATGGAAAGTCAGCGCAGTGTTGCTGACTGTGTCAGGAAGGGCAATCCGGTAATTTTGATATTTGCAACAATATTTTATTACACATTTTTTTGTAACAAGTCAAAAAATTTTCCAAACATACATCTTTTTTTTTTTTTTTCCCTCTACTTTTGTAGTTAAAAAGTCAAAAAGTGCATTTTATAGATCATCCCAAATAACCACTTAGTCTCCCAAAAAGACAAATAATTTAGATTCATACCCACTTATTCCTTCTCTTTATTTCATATTTTTCATTATATTTAAATGAAATATTCATATAATATAACTATATAAAACTATCTATTTTGCACGTCTCCCCACATCTCATGTCTTGCATCTTTTGAAAATTATCATGTCAGCATGCCCATGTCATGTCCCTGTTCGTGTTTATGCTTCTTAGCATCTTCTCATTTTTGTAGGGCCATTACAACCATCCCGGCGGAGATCCCTCTTTACTTTGGCAACATCAATGATAATTTTTGCAGCAAAAGCATACAATATCCTCCCTCTTGTTCCTTGTGCTAAGGCTGCAGTGACTGGTAATACGGTACGTGGAACAGTATTAGCTATTCCGTGTTCACATTGGCTTAATATGTATCCTGCTACCGCAATGGCTTTCTTACATTTCTGACTGATAAAAATGTTGAGTTGGTTCATCTTCTTTCTTTTAGTGCCAATCTGCATGGTTTAGTGCTAAACGCAACAAATACAATGAGATAATATCAGATGAGATTATTGGAGTTGAGCTTACTTAATAATGCTAAACTGATATCCAATGTGCTTGTACAGGTTGATCCATTTCTGCAGTTGGTTGATGATTGCAAGTTGCAGGCTGTTAATAATGGATTAGACAGCTTGGGAAAAGTTTACGGATCAAAGGAAGATGATGATGATGCCTTGAAGTCACTTTCGGCAATAGTAATAAAGGATGACCAATCTAAAGAATCCTTTGCCTCCATGATAGTGAAGACATTGGGAATTTCCTCAAAAGTAAATGTGATATTGTCTTTAAAATTCATAGCTTGTAATTGTATTGGACCATGATAGTAATATTTAAAGATCTTTATGCAGCAAGAGATATCCACTATGAAGGAGCAATTGCTTAAAGATTTTCTTCCCGATGATGCGTGTCCACTGGGAACCCAGTTGTCCATGGAGACACCTGGCCAGATCTACCAGTATGATTCAAAAGATGATAAATCTTTTGATGAGGTATTTACTTTCCACATCCTTCCAAACTCTTCACCTTTTGAAATTTCGTTCACATGTATGTAAATCATCAATGTGCAGGATAAGCCTCCAATGTTTTCAATAGATGATGACATGGCAGTAAATGCACTTGAAAACCAACCCAATCCTGATTTGCTGCTGCCCGTGGAAAATCCCAGCCTCCTGAGTGTCAACCAATTTCTGGATTCGGTAATATGTCAATTTATTGATCCGTTATACTGTTGGTTTGTGTCAATCTACATTCAGTGGCAAATTAATCCAACTAGGAATAATCCGATTAATTTTAAAAGTGATTCTTCTACTGGTTTAGGCTTATTTTATGGCTAATGACCAAACTTCACTGATAATGCTTGTTCTGAATTTTATTTTATTTTTATAAAATAACATCTGTATATGAAAACAGCTGGGGCTTTATTATTTATTATCAACCACCAAAGAATTATCTTAAGAAAACTAATAGTACAGAGTGGGGGGAAGCTCCTACTGAAAATATATATTTATGTACATAAACAAGATTAATGAGACGCCTAGTCAAAACTACCTAGGCCCCTAATTTTTTTGAAAGAATATAATAATTAGGCCAGTGCTCCTTGTAGCTGACACCCAAAAGATAAAGCCCTGTATCCATGATACAAGGGAAAAAGATAGTCAAAATTGAGGGAAGTAATGGAAACAATTTAGCAATAGCAAGATTGATTAAGTAAACATGCTCTCCGAAATATACATTCCATACAAAACATGATTTTACAAAAGACAAATGCAACCTGTATTCATAATTTTAAATGACACGAATATATGGCATGTGTGTGTGTACATTTATCATCAAAATAAAGTAAAATTATCTCACCTCATGGCTTACACAAGTAAAAGAGGGCATTCCCTCTATCAAATATAAGTGGCCGGCTAATTACAAAAATTCACATATGGCCCTAGGCCTTACACAAAACAAACAAAAAGGATATTTTGATAATTTTAAAGAATACCAAGATTAGGGAATGATTGTGATATCATCCCCCTTTTATATTAATGAAGATTAATAATTACAAGGGAGTCTTAAGGCATAGAATAATTGCAGAATAATTATAATTGAATAATAAAAGACTATTCTAACACTCCCCCTCAAGTTGGTGCGAAGATATCTCTCATGCCAGCTTACTTAGGACGTCATGCAATGGTTTACTCCCAACTCCCTTGGTGAGGATGTCAGCGAGTTGTTCACCAGACTGCACAAATGGAGTACATATTGTGCCACTAGTGAGTTTCTCCTTAATGAAGTGGCGATCAATTTCAACGTGCTTTGTCCTGTCATGTTGAACCGGATTGTGAGCGATGTTGATGGCAGCCTTATTATCACAGTATAACCGCATGGAGTCCGTCTGATCAATACTTAGATCACTCAACAATAACTTGATCCATAAGAGTTCACACACCCCTTGTGTCATAGCTCTAAACTCAACTTCTGTACTTAACCTAGCAATCACATTCTGTTTCTTACTCCTCTAAGCAACTAGGTTGCTTCCAACAAAGATGCAGTACCCTGAAGTAGATCTCCTATCAGTTGCTGATCCTGCCCAGTCAGCATCTGTATAGGCTTCCACACAAAGATGATCATGCTTTGAAAAATAAAGAGCCTTACTAGGAGCAAACTTCAAGTACCTCAAAATTCTTATGACAACCACGAAGTGAATATGATGAGGAGCATGCATAAACTGGCTAACCACACTAACAGCAACAGCAATATCAGGACAGGAGTGAGATAGGTAGATGAGTTTACCCACTAAACTCTGATAGCTCCCGCTATCAACAGCGACTCCTCCTTCATCATCCCCTAATTTCTGATTGGGTTCCAGTGGAGTGTGACAAGTCTTGCAGCCAAGCATCCCAGTTTCCTTCAATAGGTCAAGCACATACTTCCTCTGTGAGATAAATATCCCAGCCTTGGAGCGAGCAACTTCAATTCCTAGAAATACTTCAAACTCCCCAAGTCTTTGATTTCAAACTCACTTGCTAAATATTTCTTCAACAAAGGTATTTCCTCACTATCATCACCTGTAAGAACTATGTCATTTACATAAATAACGAGCGCTGTAGTCTTACCATGTGAAGAACGTTTCACAAATAAGGTGTGATTTGCCTGACTCTGTTTGAAGCCATATTTAAGTATAGCTTGAGTGAATCTCTCAAACCAAGCCCTTGGAGACTGTTTGAGACCATATAATGACTTCTGAAGCCAAAATACCATACCCTCTGTCTGATGATCCTCAAAACTAGGAGGAATATCTATATATGCCTCTTATTCGAGGTCACGATGGAGAAATATATTCTTTACATCAAACTAATGAAGTGGCCAATCTAGATTAGCTACTAAGTACTTTGACTAATTCATCTTAGCCACGGGTGTAAAGGTCTCCTGATGGTCAATGCCATATGTTTGAGTGAACCCTTTTGCCACAAGTCTAGCCTTATAACGTTCAATAGAACCATCCGCTTTGTGTTCCACAGTATACACCCATTTGCATCCCGCAGGTCATTTGCCCTTAGGTAACTCAGTCAATTCTCAAGTACCATTCTTCCTAAGTGCTTTTATTTCCTCAATCATGGTAAGTTTCCACTCAGAAGTAGCAAGAGCATCCTGGAAATGGTTAGGAATGCTAACAATGAAATATTTGACACCTTTTCACAGTATATGAGGACGACAAATGAGAGTAGGGCACAAAATTTGAGATAGGATGTTGAGTACAAGATCTTACACCCTTTCTCTTGGCAATAGGAACATCAAGATCAATAGGAGTATCAAGATCAGTGGACTCGAGTTTCAAAGTTATTTGGACTCTTATGAGAAGCAGGATGTGGCAATGAGTGAGCAGAAGTGGTCTCTTATATCCAGTTAACTTTCTATCTGTCTTTGTCCCTGACATAAACTTGTCTGTCCCTATCTTGGGAGTAAGAGGTGGTGGTGCAAGAACAACTGGTTCCACCATAGGAATCACAGGAATCTTTTCACACCAAGGCTCCCATTGAAGGGAGGACTGTGACACCGGAGAGGACAAGAACTAGGACCGGGAATAAAAAAATGTGACATCCATGGACACAAACCACTTGCGAGGAAGGTAATAACACTTATACCACTTTTGAGTAGGAGAATACCTAAGGAAAACACATTTGAGGGAGCGAGGGTCCAACTTACCACGAGTAGGAGAGTGTGTGGATAAAACAAACACAACCAAATATTTTGGGAGGAAGAGAACAAGGACTCGGAACTGAGGAGGACTTGAAGGAGAGTTTGTTTGTGCAAGATTTGGGTAGGAAGACGATTAATAAGATGGACAGCGGTGAGAACAATGTCGCCCCAGTAGGACTGAGGCACACTCATAGAAAAACACATGCATCGAGCCATGTCAAGAAGATGACAATTCTTGCGTTCTGCCACCCCATTTTGTTGAGGGGTATTAGTGTAAGAGGTCTGATGGATAATGCCATGGGCAGAAAAATATTGCCCTAATCCAGAATCTATGTATTCCCCCCCTTATCAGAATGAAAGATTTTGACAGTGGCCTCAAACTGAGTACAAATCATCTTATGAAAATTTTGGAACACAGAGAAAACCTCACTCTTGTCTCTCATGAGATACACCCAAGTAGTACGAGAAAAATCCTTAATAAATGTAAAAAACTAGCGATGACCTTTCACAGACATAACACGAGATGGACCCCAGACATCAGATTGTATTAATGAAAACGAAACTAAACTTTTATTAAAACCGGAAGCAAAAGAAGCTCTGTGTTGTTTTTCAAGTTGACAAGACTGACAAAGAAACTCAGACACATTATTGTTTGTAAAATCAGATGGAAATAAATGCTTAAGTAAATAAAAAGAAGGATGCCCAAGACGCCGATGCCACAACCATAAATCATCTTGGGTAGTAAGACTTGTGGTGGAAGAGTGAGCAAGCTGGTCTGGTTGATCCAGGAATATAGATCATTTTCTGCACTACTACTGCCAATTGTCCTCCTCGTGACAAGGTCTTGAAAAAGACAATGATTAGGAAAAAAAGTCACACTAGAATTCAAATCCTTTGTAATACAACTCAAGGATAGCAGGTTAACAAAAAATTGGGAACATGGAGAACAGAAGATAGACGTATGGTAGGAGTGACATGGACTAAACATTTCCTAGAAATCGAAGAAACAATACCATCTGCAATCTTAACTTTGTCTTGACCTAGAGAGGGCTTATAGGCAGAGAAAAGATCAGAGGATCCAGACATGATCTGAGGCACCAGAATCAATAATTCAGGGCAAAGACTTATGAGATAGGAAAACACGCGGATAAGAGGTTAAGTTACCTGAGCGTGCAAATGACGAGGAAGATGTAGATGTATTGAGAGCAGTAGAAGACCGGCGGTCCAGCAAGTGGCGCAGAACATCCTCAAGCTCATGAGTAGTCATGCTAGAGAGACCATCAGAAGCCTGGCCAACGGAAGTAGAAGTAGAATCAAGCGTATCAACTGCACTAGACTGATGAGCCCGTGGATGAGAGCCACGTCCTCTAGACTGAGTAGTCATGCTAGAGAGACCATCAGAAGCCTGGCTAACGGAAGCGGAAGTAGAATCAAGCGTATCAACTGCACTAGACTGATGAGCCTGTGGATGAGAGCCAAGCCGTCTAGACTGGCCTGAAACCGATCACCTCGACCCCCGGATGGAGGCCCATGAAGTGTCCCTTATGATCTGAAAGCTTCATATATCGTATTTACTTATTTTTTCCTGTATAGCGTGAATGTTTTTGTTAGTTTTTTTCTGTTTGACATAGTAAGGAAACATTTATCAAATAAAAAATGCTCTGTGAAATGGCATGTGTTTAACCATTCTTTTGAAATGAAAGAGCATATGTCTAACTTACTCAGCCATGGTTAATTTATTTACTGCCTTTCTTCCATAAAATTGGACTCACCTATTAATAGAGCCAAACTGTATGTGTAATGGAAATTATTGGTGGAACTTAACTAATTTGAATAAAATTTAAACCGATCTAAGTTTGTATTGCAGTTAATCTAGCTTTACAGAATCACTAATTGAAATGATGCAGGTTTTGGAGACAAGTAGTCAAGTCGGAAGGTTATCTGTTTCTACAGCATCTGACATGCCTTACAAGGAAATGGCTAGCCATTGTGAAGCCCTCCAAAAGGGAAAGCAACGGAAAATGTCTGATTTTATGGGTTCCCAGGAGATCCCGGACAATCTATTGAGCCAATATTGTCATGATTTTAACCAGGCAACGCATGTGCCATCTCATTCCCAGGTTGAGCCGGATTTCCCTATAGTACTTCCATACTACCTGAAATGTTATGATTTCACCTAGTCAGAAGAGGCAGAAAACAGAAATAAAATTTGAATAAAGAATATAAGGGAAAAAAAAAAAGAAAAAAAAAGAAGAAGAATAAGTTTTCCTTGTAGCTAGTTTTCATTTCTGTGCTACTGGTAAATACTATCACTTTACTGGATGGCTGGCAAATACAACCAGGCATGCTTCTGTGTTCTTCTTGGATATTTCTGGGTCATGTGGATATAGTATTGCACAACAGGCTGCTCTTTTCCACAGTATCAAGTCATTGTTCATGAACAAACCGCTGATTATAGTTTGCAATAAAACCGATTTGCAGCCGTTAGATGGCATATCTGAAGAAGACATGAAGTTGGTCATGGAGATGAAATCTGAAGCTATGAAGACTGTGATAGGTCAAGGTGGGGATTCTACAAATGATGAGGAGGTACTCTTGACCATGAGCACTTTGACTGAAGATGGAGTAATTGCAGTAAAGAATGTGGCTTGTGAGAGGTTATTAAATCAAAGAGTGGAATTGAAAATGAAGTCTAAAAAGATAAGTGATTGTTTGAATCGCTTTCATGTTGCAATGCCAAAGCCACGCGATCAGAAAGAAAGGCCACCTTGTATACCTCAGGCAGTCTTGGAAGCTAAGGCTAAGAAAGAAGTGGATCAGGAGAAGAGGAAGCTCGAGAGGGATTTGGAGAACGAGAATGGTGGAGCAGGTGTATATTCTGCTAGCTTGAGGAAACATTATGTTTTAGCAAATGATGAATGGAAAGAAGACATAATGCCAGAAATTCTTGATGGGCACAATGTATATGATTTCGTTGATCCCGATATCTTGCAAAGGCTCGAGGAGTTGGAGCAGGAAGAAGGTCTTCGTCAGGATCAGGATGAAGGTGAGGATGTGGATATGGATGGCACCGAACTGACCCCAGAAGAACAAGAAGCGCTGGCTGAGATTCGTAAAAAGAAAAGTTTGCTTATTCAACAGCATAGGATCAAGAAAAGCACTGCAGAGAGCAGACCAATGGTACCAAGGAAATTTGACAAAGACAAGAAGTTCACATCAATGAGAATGGGAAGGCAGGTATCATCTTTGGGGCTTGATCCGACTCTTGCAATTAACCAAGCTCGTAGCCAGTCAAGGGGACGTAAGAGGGAGAGATCTCTTGACCGTGGAAATAATGATGGTGGTGATGCCATGGATGCCGAACAACCTAACAAGAAGCTTCGGACCTTGTCTAGATCCCGGAAGTTTCACGACTCCTTTCACTACTCCGGCACCGCCTGCACCGAGTTTCACAAAGGTCAGTGTGTCAAGGGCGACTCGTGCGAGTTCGCTCACGGCGTATTGGAGTACTGGTTCCACCCTGCTCACTATCGTACGCAGCCTTGTAAGGACGGTACGCAGTGTCGCCGCCGAGTCTGTCTCGCCACCCATGTCGCCGAACTCGGTGAGTGAACTCGCTGCTTCTATGAGGAGTATGCAGATTGGGAAGGTGAATATAAACATGAGTCAGCCTGCTTTTGGTTTTCAAATGCTGGGTTTTGCTCGCCCCGAGGTAGTGAAGAAGAGTGAAGGTATGTGTAGAGAATTTTAGCGGACTAGGTTGAGGTCCGGCGGGCGGCTAAGGTGAGGTTGCCGCCCGCCGGGGAAGCAAAAAATATTAGGTTCTAAACCTGCTCTGATACCATGTAAAAATAAATGTATTATTGATTGATGTATTTGATATATTGATTGATATATTCTATTACAAATCAGAGTGGCTCATTATATAGGAGAGGGTTTGGGTAGTAGGTGAGGAGTAGGTGAGGGTAAATTGGTGGTAGGTGTAGTAGGTGTGGTAGTAGGTGGTGGTAGGTGTAGGTAAATTCTAACACTTCATATATCGTATTTACTTATTTTTTCCTGTATAGCGTGAATGTTTTTGTTAGTTTTTTTTCTGTTTGACATAGTAAGGAAACATTTATCAAATAAAAAATGCTCTGTGAAATGGCATGTGTTTAACCATTCTTTTGAAATGAAAGGGCATATGTCTAACTTACTCAGCCATGGTTAATTTATTTACTGCCTTTCTTCCATAAAATTGGACTCACCTATTAATAGAGCCAAACTGTATGTGTAATGGAAATTATTGGTGGAACTTAATTAATTTGAATAAAATTTAGTTAAACCGATCTAAGTTTGTATTGCAGTTAATCTACCTTTACAGAATCACTAATTGAAATGATGCAGGTTTTGGAGACAAGTAGTCAAGTCGGAAGGTTATCTGTTTCTACAGCATTTGACATGCCTTACAAGGAAATGGCTAGCCATTGTGAAGCCCTCCAAAAGGGAAAGCAACGGAAAATGTCTGATTTTATGGGTTCCCAGGAGATCCCGGACAATCTATTGAGCCAATATTGTCATGATTTTAACCAGGCAACGCATGTGCCATCTCATTCCCAGGTTGAGCCGGATTTCCCTATAGTACTTCCATACTACCTGAAATGTTATGATTTCACCTAGTCAGAAGAGGCAGAAAACAGAAATAAAATTTGAATAAAGAATATAAGGGGAAAAAAAAAAGAAAAAAAAAGAAGAAGAATAAGCTTTCCTTGTAGCTAGTTTTCATTTCTGTGCTACTGGTAAATACTATCACTTTACTGGATGGCTGGCAAATACAAGCAGGCATGCTTCTGTGAGAAGCTTTGATTTTATTGTTTCTGTAACAATAGAATACTCTGGATTGATTTAATGATAATTACAAGCACTAATATATAGTTTCCGAGACTAAACCCTAATTATAGTCCAAGTACTAAACTACCCTTATACTGGAGAAATACTTCCAAAACAGAATAATAATACAACTCTCACAATTCCTTGGTGTCAGGTAGTTTTGTATCACATGGGTTTAAATCAATCACATGGAAGTTTTAATATGGTTTGAAATTGGAAGATTAGATTTCTGGGTATCGTAGGAAATTTGCCCCTCTTACACCGTGCATGCATGCGAATCTCAGTATGTGTGTTTATGCATGTTATGCTGACTTCTGATCACGGAATCGTTTGAATTGCAGAGTGGGAATCCATTCCTTGACCAGAACTTCAGTGCTAACCCAGCTACAGGTATGACGCCAATGCTGTGCGCAACCGAGTACCAGCATCATCCCGACTTCTTTATGCTACCGGCAGCAAGCCCTTTTGATCACTTTCTGAAGGCTGCTGGTAGTTGAGATTCCAAATGGCCAAGAGAATGGATAAAGCATGTTTTAAACTCAAAGGGGTTGAAGGTCTAATAGTGTAGCAGAGGCTTAAAAGGAAGGACTTCTAGCACTGGCTGTTTTCTAAATTTGCACTGCTGGTTGCTATTGTTGTTGGCAGAGAAGTTTTATCTTCTTTTCTTTTCTTTTTTTTTTGGTCATGAGCTTAGTGAATTTGTTGCCAATTCATTTAAGATGCCTTCATTCATTTGTTCTTTTTCTATATTGTGTAGGAGAGGGAATGCTTTTTTAATTAAGTTCCTCCCGATTGTTTTTCTCAGTCAATGAAATGTATATGGTGAATTTCAAGGGAATTTTTGACACATTTTCAAGCCTCGGGTTGTATATTAATATATCCATTGTATTATAATTTTGGGTCATGATAATTGCAATTCAATGGGTTGCCATTAAGCAAAGGTAATGAAAATGTTTTAAAAATATGAATTTCAAGGGAATTTTTGACACATTTTAAGTACTTCTACATGTTTTTAACATTTTGTTTTGCGGGGGAGGGAGGGGGGCGGAGAGGCAGGATTTACACATTCTTATGTAATTTTTCCATCATTGTGACAAAAGGGTACATTGATGTGATTGGAGACATGTACAAAGGTGTGGTGATTACTATTAGATAGTTTGCTGGAGAGACAAGTTAGGGGTGTGAAAATGGTCCGAGGCCTGAGGAGGGCCTGACCCATTTCGGCCTGTTTAGGCCCGGGTTCAAGCCCAGTCCAGTACCATGGGCCTGGTATTGGGCCTTCCATTTGAAGCTTAGCCCAAAAAAAATTTGGTCCTTGCAGGCCACCTGACCCTCTCTTTGCCAACGGTCAAATTTAAAAAAAAAAACAAAACAAAAGGCAACTTGCAACGATTAAATAATTAAAAAAATAATAAAATAAAATAAAAACTTGATCTTGCAAAAATAAAAATAAACAAATAAAAAAATAAAAAAAAAACAATGCAGCACAACGGTCATTTCCTTACAATGAAAAAAAAAATATAATAATAATTCTAAACTGTTACCTGCCCCCACCCACCTACCCCCTGTCCTACCTCTCCCTTGCATGCATCATCACATCACTCACTCTTTTACTGACATCAACTTGAAAAATGTTTCTGGGTGTCCACAAGCCCGCCGTTTATGAAGATGGCAAATGTGGAAGGGAAAATGTTTTTGGGTGCTCATTGCCCTGCAATTTATGGAGCCAGCAAATGTGGGATTATTTTCAGTATATTAAACTATAACTATATACAATTGTTTCGGCTTTCGGCTCTCACTTGGGATGTCATAGTATATTTACCACCCGTGGATATGTGAAAAGATGGGACAACTTCATGCGTTGCATCCTTGTCACTTATATACGTAGACACTTACTAGTATTTTCATTTCTATAATTCAAATATTGCATTGCATGATCATATGTTTTTCAATTGACTATATAACCTGTTAAATTCATCACCTACTGAGCTTATGCTCACCCCAAAGCTAACAATTTTGGGAAATGAAGATGACGTATCCATTAAATGATGGCATTCATAAGAAATGACTCTTTTAGAGCTTGATGATATATCTATTGAAGTTTTGTTGGGGTTTGGTTATGATGATTGTAATTAAATGTTGATTTTGTGTGTTAATGTAGCAAAAGGCATATTTTGGAGGGAAGTTCATTTGGATTCGATTGTTGTATATGTTTCTTGTCTATTGAACTATTTGGCTTGTTGGGGATGTAATGAAACAATATTGTAATTTTTGGGAAATAGTTCAGTGGAAAAGAATGCTATGATCTTGTTATTGTGTTTATTTTATTTTATTTTTTTGTGTGTTGTGTGTTGGTAATGCTTGGGAGAACAGGATCTAGAATGGTTCTTTCCAGGGTGTTACAAATTGGTATCAGAGCTAACCGTGTTGAATACCTGTAGCTCGTAGGAAGCAGCTTCGCCGCATAAGCCTATTATGTTAGAGGGGGATATTAGATTGTCTCGTATGCCTTAATTGTTTGTGTGATTATGTGGGTATGGAGTTAAGCTCTTAGGATATGACTTGTACCTATTGCAATCATTGAAATCCTTTTGGAGAGGCACTTGATCAATGCCTTTTCCATTAGGAAATCTTTAAGTGCCATGGAACTAGTCAGAGTCCTAGGAGAGTAACTCATGTGTGTTCTATGTGTTATGTGAACATGTGGTGTGCTTTATGTGATATAGGTAATTGCATGGGAGTGTGTTTAACTCTCGCGTGTGATATGAGGGTTGATATATATATATATATATATAGTGTGTGTGGATTGTAAGTTAAATCTTTCTCCTTATTTCTATATAGGATGTCGGGAGGAGGAAGAGGACATGGTAGGTCCCGTAGAGGTCACTGGGATATGCCGACACTCCAAGATCTCTTTCTCTTATAGGAAGGGATGAGGCAAAATGATGCATCCAATCCACTTGGCCAAGACGCAATGGGGGCATTAGCTCAGGAGATGTAGGGGCTCTTCGTGAGTCCATGGAAATACTCCGAGCCAAGCAAGCGGCGAGGACAATAGAGGGGGAAACACGAGTATCCTTCTTGAAAAATGAATTTTTGCGCTCTAATCCCGCTGAGTTTAAAGGTGGGCCTAACCCAATGAAGAATGGTTGGAGCATCAAGTCATTTGAGATTCTAGACATTCGTGACAGAGAACTTCAAGTGGCATTGGTGGCTTATCAGTTAAAGGGGGAGGCTGGTCAATGATGGAAATCTGTGAAACATAGAGTGAAGCATACCTGGGAGGTGTTCACCTACGCCTTCCAGGAGAAGTTCTTGCCTCCCATAGCAAGGGAAAGGTTGAGGAAGCAATTCGAAGACTTGAGGCAAATAGACACACCAATGGCGGAATTTGAGGCCACATTTACTAGTCTAGCCCGTTTTGCGCCCAAGCTTGTAGCAACTGAGGAGTGTCGGTGTTTGGAATTTGAGAAGAGATTAAGGCCTAAAATCTTGATAAAAGTGATGGGAAATATGTACCGGAAGTATGATCGACTGGTGGAGGCTGCGGCTCATGTGAAGATTATGCTTGTGGCTGAAGAAGCAAGACAGAAGCACAAGAGACCAAGGAATGTTGAATCTAAGGGTGATACAGGATCTTTTAAGAGATCTAGAGGTTCATTTTCTTCATCTTCTTAGTCCACTCCCCAACAAGTCAAATCATCGGGGTCCGTTTCCATGAGAAGTTCGGGGGGTGGGGATCCCTATCGTGTTACCTATTTCAGATGTGGCCAGCAGGGTCACAAGGCATCCGATTGCAAACAGAATGCAAGTCACTATCAACCAACTCGTTCTCAAGGCCAAGCCCAAGGAAGGGGCCAATTGCCTACGTGCTACCATTGCGGGCAATCGGGTCATATGCAAAGATCTTGTCCACAATTGGTTGGAGCGGGGAGTACTTCAGGGTCTCAAAATTCTGGGGGGCATCAGTCAGGCCAAGGTCAAAGGCAGAGTTATCAACCTGTTCAATCCAGACAAACATTGAGGGCAATGCAAGGGGCCACTATAGCATAGTCAACGCAACCAGCCAATACTTTGAGAGGTGATTAGGGTGATCAAAGACCCCAAGGACGAGTCTATGCCATTAGTGTCACGCCCCAAGCTCCGTGACAACGCCGCACACTCATTTAAGTGAGCATGCAAGGTTAAGAGTCCAACACATAACCAACCATGTAAAATACTTCAATTAAATCCTTAATTATCATAATGCTAAAATCCATAAAAATTGATTATTCTTAGCATATGAAATTATCCACCAAGTCCACTAATAAAATCCATTAACAAAACAATAATCCAAGTACTTAATTCAAAGTCCTACTCTCGGCACTCCTACATGTAAAAAATCCTGCGCAGCTCTACTCTTCAGAATCTGAAAAAAAAAAAAATAAGGATAAGCTAGAAAGCCCAGTAAATAACCAACCATCATTGCCAGCTGGATCAAGTATAAAAAAATTAATAAATAAATCGATAACCAATAAATATAAATTTTTCTACAGTTCAATAAATGAAAAATTATTTGTAAGATGGTTTCATAGCTAAAAATAAACAATGTACTATACATTTTCAATGAAAAAGCCAACAAGATAATTCAAAGTAATTCATTGTTCAAATCGATGGTTCGATATTCAGATAGTTCAATGATTTGATTCACAAAACCCAAGTCTTAATGACTACGGTCACTTAGCCCGTGACAAGGCCCAGAACCACACATAGGCCGGTGGTAAAGCCCCAAAAGAAACTAGTTTCTGTGCCAATAAATAACCCCCATTGGCTAGGGTCCAAATCATAGTCAGACTAGAGTGATGTTCAAAATTCAACAATACACAACTTTTAAACAAAATATTCGATATTTTCAAAATAAACATTTAGTACAATTTTCATAATAGTTTCATAAAATTTTCAAATAATTTTCATAATAATATTCGATGCTATTTTATACTTGACCCATATTTTATTTTAAGAGAACATGGAGGCTATGAATAAATAATTATAATTTTAAACGATTCAATAGGAATAAAAAATGTACCAACAGTGATAGAGGGTTACTCACCTCAAACAGCTAAACTAATATTTTCCAAACTAATCTCAAATACCCAACTCCACCACTTCAATTGCACGAACCTAATAAATATAACCTCAAACAAATTAATATTTTTGTGTCTTTCACATATCCACAAGAACCCACTGCATATATGAGATGCTTTAATATACAAGAAATATCAAATCAATTCCCTTAATTTAATAGTTAAACACACCATATCTAATATACCAAATTCTATTGCAAAACTACACCTACATAATAATTTGCACTGTTTCCAATAGCCCATACAATTGCACATACACGTTGCTCCATGCATCCAAACTCTCAATATTTAGGTATCCACACAAATTTCCTTTCCAAAACCATCTGACTACCTATTGACCCCTGTACATAATATAATAAACAATTGATCCCTTTACGTAAAGTAAACAATGGGACAAAAATACCTCAGTCAATGGGTAGTCAAGAACATTCAGTGGCCTCAATTTCCAACTGTCATTCCTCCTAAGGATGCACTGCGCAGTCGCGATAAAAAGAAATACGAAACCCCCTTTTTCCCTATTTTTATTTATAAAATATATATATATATTTTTTAGGGTTACTAACCTATTTTCTTAAAATTACAAAATTACCCATCTCAGTAATAGAAATTATCATGCCACCTCATAACTAATTCTTGATATTACTAAGTGACCCATATAAATTAATGTAATTACCAATCTATCCAAAAATAATAATATTCAAAACTTGGGTTTTACAATTAGTGCTTCTGAACAATCATCCGGGCCATCAGTGATGAGAGGTACCTATC